CTGCTCCCCTCAGCAGTGTATTTCAGTGTATTTCTGCCTGTTCTGTTCCCCACTCTGTCTCTGGCGAATCTTCTCACCCCCCACACCTCTGGCCTGTATCCCAGTTCTTGTATGCATAAATAAATCTTTTTTAAAAAAGAGACCAGAAAGGGATAGGAAAGAATGATAATCACAAGAAGAAAATGGGAGACACAACCCTAGCCAGGTGGGGGATTAAACATCATCAGTTAAGGACAAATGTGTTTTATTCTCCCTTACTGTGTTGTTGAGAGTGGCATTTCATCTCTGATCTTCCTCCCCAAACCCATTGCCCAGTCAAGCAACCTCAAATTGAGGGCCCTTCTACAATACACCTGAGCAGCACTCCCCTAAATGTGAAGACCATCAAAAACAAATAATTTCTGAAAGACTGACTCAGCCAGAGCAGCCTTAGGAGACATGATTAGGACTTAGTGTGGTATCATGAGGGAGCCTGGAACAGAAAAATAAACTAATGACACCCAAACAAAGCATGGAATTTATTAATAACATCAATATGCTTTCCTTGGCTGTACCAATAAAACAGTGATAACATGTTAACAACAGGAGATATGAGTATGGGAATGACAGAAACTATGACTTTTACAAGTTTTCTACAAATTACAAACTATTCTAACATAATTAAAAAAAAAAAAATAGCCCTCAGAAATACAGTTCCAGGAAAATAATGTTGAGGTTTCTCAAAACATAAAAATGATAGAGCATATAATTCAGCAATTCCACTCTTTGGTGTGGAGGGGACACAATGGACTCTGGTGAAGGACTCTGGGTGCTGTGGTAGAGAGGGTGGTGTGGTCACTACCTCTGAAGAGATGTGAACCTATTTCCCTTAAATGAATTGTAAATCAATGTTACTGTAAATCAGTGCTACTTCAATGTAAAAAAAAAAGATTAAAACATAGCTTTCAGGAAAAAAAACAGGGAGTGGAAGAGAAAATTTGTTTTGCAGTCTCCAGAGTGTGGTCATCAAGGGGCTGCGGGGAGAGAAGATGGCGCCTCAGACACAGGCAGCTCCAGAGCCTCCTCTCCTCTCCTCCACTCCCCCCACCCCAGCCTGGTGCCAGGGCTGCTCACAGGACATCTTCACCCACTTTACCTAGTGATGGTCACCCAGCTCACCCTCTCAGCCTGAGTCAGTCACACACACGCACTCGTGCGCGTGCTCTGGCTGCGCAGACTAGAAACGCACCGCTGCGCCCCCTCTGAAGACGGGCCAGAACCCTGTGGTTTCCTCAGTTTCTCCCAGGGCTCTTAGCAGGAATAAGTGTGCATAAGGGGGATCCCCTATTCCGCTCACGTTCTAGGTCCAAATTATTTTGTAAATTATACACAGAAACAGATGGTCCCTCTCCATCAATAATCATCTCTGGTTCAGGGAGAAGATCCCCAGGCCATAACAGCTGGTTCCCAGGACCAGGGTGGGCCCCACAAAATAGCAGGTCTCCTCAGTCTCCTGGGATGAGACCTTGACTCAGAGTCCCTGTCACTTGTTCCAGCTGCTGACTTCAGAGTTGAAGGCTCCTCCTCCAGGAAATCAACTCTTAACTCTCCACTCCTAGAATGGGCTTGGAAGAAGGAGGCTCCAGAAGGAGTGAGGAGAGGGTGGAAAATTGGACCCTTAAGGGATGGAGGCCAAAAGAAGTAGAAGGGGAGGAACCAGGAAGGATGGTTTGTGTGGGGAGGGGCCCAGGGGTTCTGGCTGGGGCTGGGAGAGTCTCTGCTATAATTTGAATGATAATTACAAAGAGTTTAGCTCTATATTGATGGTAAATAATGCTTAAGAGATTCTCCATGCCTAGAGCTGTGGTATATTTCAAATTGTACCACATGGAACAAAGGGAAAAGAAGTAATTTAGTAGATTCCCCCCTTCGAAAGCTGGCTCCCCTTATGCTGGGGTGACAGGGAGAATCAAGGAGCCCAGAGAGTGGGAGCACAAGGTCTGTGTGCCTGGAGGGGGCAGCCCTGAGCCCTGACATAGGATGCCAGAGCCCCTCCCTGTGTTGGGACCTCACAGCCCTATCTGAGTCCATCTCAGCTCACAGACCTCAGCCCTGGGCAGTATCAGGAGCTTGACCATAGGGTTCAAGGGCACAGAAGATGCCCAGGGCCCCATATACTGTAGCTGAGTCATACCTTTAGCTGGGCATCATCAGTGGATTCTGGACATAAGTCTGGGACCAGGACTTCAGTGCCTTCAATCCCACCACCTGGCTGGGGCACCCTCCAGTGCAGATATGCAGAGGCAGCAGGTGCTCTGACCCCAAGCAGGTATGGCTGCGTGCCCCATGCTGAGGGGTTGCTGGGGGCTTTCTGCTTGGCTCCTCATCTGGAGTGAGCTAGTGGGTTGCTCCCTCCCTGCTAAGCACCAAGTCACCCCCAACTCCATCCCATACCAGAGAACTGCCTCACTTCCTGCCCCAGCCACACTCAGCATTAAGGGGTTCTGCTCCAGACACTTACTCACTCATTAGCATACTTATGCCACACCTGCTGTGTGCCAGGCACTGTCTAGGCAATTTGGGACATTTCAACAAAGGAAGTAAAATCCCTCCCCTCTCAGAGTTTACATACTGATTGAACACCTGACAGTAAACAAGAAAGCAGCTGTCAGTGATCAGGGTCAAACAGAAAAGAGTGATTTAGAGAACCAACAAGGCAGGGGAGATGAGGGAGCCAAGTGTGGTATAAAATGCTATCTACAGGGAAGACTTTCCTGTACGTGAAATTAGAACTCAGACCTGAACGAGGGGAATGCTGGGATTTACAGCAGTGAGTCCTGTGTCACTGGGAGGAAGTGTTCTAGAATCACTCTCTGCACAGCTCTGGCTCTGCTGGAGAAGCCCAGAGGCTGCAGGAAGTGGGGGGAGGGGGGAGGGACAGACTTTAGGAAGCAAGTCCCGCTGAGGAGCTGTGGGGTCAGGGGTAAGTCTCCTGACCTGCTCCCCACTGTACTGAGACATCAGGAAATTCAGACACTGGGGGAGATGACAAGGCTGGGAGGTGAGGGGAGTGGGGAGAGGAGGCTAGAGAGTGAGGGGTCCACCCCAGCCTCTCCTGCACCCAGTGTGAGGATCAGAGATCTGACATGGTCAGCAAATCCCAGAGTCTCTGGATGTAGAGCAAAGTGACCACATTGTAAATGACACAACCAGGCCTTTCCCTGGAGTGGACAAAGCCAAACTCTAAGCCACGAGAAATGTCTTTGCACAGAAGAGTTTATTGGAGAAGGCTCTCAACGGAGTCAGTGGGATCAGCACCCCAAACAACTCATTCCTTGGATAGGGGACTGCTGGGATGTAAAAGGGGTGAAGGAATGTAAGGGAAGGGCAGGGCTTCAAATCTCCAGGCCCAAGGAGGAGCCCATGTCTAGGTGACAGGAGTCAAGAGTTTAGGGAAAGACAAATACAAACAACGATACGTCATCACACACTTACTAGCAGGCAAATATCAAAAAACCTCATAGAAACAAGTCCTGACCAGGAGCAACAGGAACCCTCATTCCTTGCGGCAAGACACAAAGTGGCACTGTCACTAGGGAAGAGGTTTGAAAGCTTCTTTTAAAGCCAAACACACACCCACCAGACAGTCCAGTGAGCACTGCCCCAGCTATTTACCCATCTGAAAACATGTATTTGCACAAAAACCATACATGCATCTAAATGTTTATAGCAGAACAACCATTGCGTGTGAGCTGCCCACAGTGACTTCCTTCCAAAGACATGGGAAAAAAAAAAAAAAGAAATGGAAGAAGTGCAGAGCATGTGACATGCTGACTGGAGAAGAGCACTTCACCTCTGTCACCTTCTTTCCCCAAATCACAGCCCCAGTGAAAAAACTCAAATTCAGCGGCATTATTCCTGAGCGGTCTCCCCAGTGTCAGTTACCAAAATAATGGAAAGTCCGAGAAACTGCCTGAGCTAGAGGCGCCTAAAGGAGACATGGCTGGAACTTACTGAGATCCTGGGACATAAAAAAGTAACAGTAATGAACTCCAAAGAGAGCATGGAGTTCAGTAAACGCCAGTCAGTATTGCTTCATTGGCTGCACAGATGCACAGTAGCCATGTAGATGTTAACTATGTGGGAAAACAGTGTGGGATATAAAGGAACGCTACAACACCTTTGCAAATTCTCTGCAATAGTATTTTTAATGTAACTTTAAAAAAAGGCTTCAATAAATAGGTTGTAGAAGGAAAAAAATGTCTACTTTTCAGTTTTCCCAGGTATTGCTATAAAAAACTGGAGAAACGGGTACTGGAGAGAAACACACGGGGCAGACTCCGGAGTCTCCTCCCCTCTGAGCCCTGCTTCTCTGACTCCTCACAGACCATGTCACCCCCAGGACGCCGCCCTCCAGCACCCCCAACTCTGCCCACCTCAGCCCCCGCCCGGTCCTGGCAGCTCCACCAGAATCCGGAGCAGCGCGGCAGCGCCCCCGTGTGGCCACAGGGCTGAGCACAGGAGACCAGAGCTGCCCTTTCTCCTGCTCAGCCAGGCCCTCCCCGGGCTCCCTGGGCTCCCAGGGGCAGAACAGGGATCTGTGAATAGGGGCATGAGGTCTAGTGATAAGTGACAGGTACTCAAATTACCTTCCTAGGGTGTCCTATGTACTCAGGAAAGAACCTAGTTTCCAAGTCACAACAACTGGTACTTACAGGAGGAATGAAGAGCTTCCAAATAAGGGAAAAAAATAATAATAAAGTAAAATTCAAAATCAACAGGCAAATATGAGCCAGCGACAATCTGCAGGGTGGGGAGAAGGGATTAGGATCAAAACAAGAGCACAAAGAACCACGGCAATAGTTCAGGGGAATTTCACAGGGACTATAACCAAGATAAAAATGCACACATTGTACAAAAATGAAAAATGATGTAAAGAAAATAAAAACAACTGGCTCCTAGATTCTGTGCAGAGACCCCACAGCTTAAAAAAGCTTTTCAAAGCTTAAAATGGAAGGTACATTTAAGTAAACTCCCTTCAAGTGCAGGACAAAATGAAGAGTGGACCCCTGGATATTGTAGTCAGACAGGGTGCACCCATATTCCAGCTGCTTCCAGGCACAGATCAGCTTCTGCTGGTCAGAGGCAAGGACTTCCTTGTCCTGGATCTTGGCCTTCAGATTCTCGATAGTGTCACTGGGTTCCACATCAAGGGTGAGGGTCTTGCCTGTCAAGGTCTTCACAAAGATCTGCATTGTCAAGCGGCAGTGAAAGCAGCACATGGAGAACAGCTACAGCTCAGCTCGGGACTCCAGGGTCTGTGTTACTTCTTCCTGCTTCTGTTTCCAGGGATGAAGTGCCCCCTGCTTGGAATCAACCCTAAATTCTCCCTGAAGACGAGGAGAGGGATCTCATAATAGAATCTCAGGATCTACTCTAGACCCTCTGAGTCTTCATGAGTGTCCAGGTGACTCCTGTGCTCAATGAAGTGGGGGTTCCCTGGTCTCTGTGCCTTCTGCACGTGGTGTTGGACTGTGCAGTTTACTCTGCTGAATACCGGCAGTTCTGGGGTCCAGTCCTGCTCCTTTCTCTTCTGCAAAGGAAAAAAAATGGAAAGGATTACTCCCTGGGTGACCTCATTCATGGTCAAGAGTTTAGGTATCGTTTACACTATCCCATCTCCCAAATCTATTCTCAGCTCAGACATTCCACCTGTGCTACAGGCTTGTCTGTCCAACTGCCACCATCTCTGACTTTCTGGTAGATCTCAGTTTCCACGCTCCTAAATTGAATACCTAGGATGCCATTCTTCAAATGTATTACTTCTAGAACCTTCCTCATGTCACTGCAGGCCCTCCACATCTCTACTTCACAGTCTGGAATACTGAGTGTCAGTCTTGACCCTCTTTCTCACAGTCCAGATGTTCCATTAGGAAATGCTGTCAAATCCATCTCTAAATATATCCACATCCAATCACTTCATATTATTTTCCTGCTCACAGTCCAACAAGGCCATGAACCTCTCTGTCCTGGAATCTGCACAGGTTTCCTACATTTTTCTTCACCTCTCACTCTTCAGCTCTTGATTCTTCACGAAGGTCAGACTGAGGCTTCTAAAGAGAACTCTCACGAGTCAATATCTGTCCAGATAGGTCATGTAACCTCACATCTTACACACAGAAAAGTTAAAACCTTTGAACATGCTTGAGGCCTGCTGGTGTCATTGCTATTACCTCTGCTCCAGCCAGCTGGCCTCCTTGCTCATCTCAGTCACACAGACACATTCCTGCCTCAGGCATTGGCACTGGAGGATGTCCCGCCTGAACATAGCTCCCCTGGACATCCTTGTAGACATGCTGTCATGTAAAATTTTTTCTCAAGTGTTTTTTCAACAGTCCCCTAAGTGAGGCCCACACTGACCACACTAGGAAGAGAGCCATCCTCCCTGTCCCCACACACTGACTCTAGGTCATTTCCCACAACCCTTACCCACTTCTAACCAGACACATCCCTTATTTACTATAACAGAGTCTCCTGTCTCTCCTTCCTACTAGGACACATGTCAACAGGCCAGCAAGCTGGGGATGTTTTTAATTCATTAAGGTTTTCTAGATGAAAAACAGCCTGTCACATAGCTGGTGCAACAATTATCAGTGGAATGAAGCATCAGTGTAGAGCACTTCCCTATTCTAGAAACAATATCTTTAGTAATGTGGCCTCAGACCACTTGCGAAGCACAACCTCTACTCACAGGGACATTAATGCTGCCTCTGCTTTTCTCACAAGCACTGTTCTCCCATCCCACGCCCTTCCTTCTACACACACCACAGACCACAAGTGTCTTTCTTCAGAAAGGATAACCCTGGTGTACTGGGTCTGACTTTTCAACCATGAATGTCGACTTTGACTCTTATTTAAAAACCCAGGAATTTGGAACCAAGACAGTCTGGGATAACTACACTTAAGGGCACAGTTGGAGGGCAGCTGAGAAAACAGAGATCCAACAGGAACTTATTTAAGAGGAGAAATTATGTGATCCTTCTCTGTACTAATACCAGAACTTGATTTGTTTCAAAAAAAAGGCTGGGAAAACATCAAAAAAATAATCCAGGAAATAGTCCTCAAACTAGGTTTGGTAAGTACTTTGCCTTCCATTTAGTCCCTTTCTCAAATTTTAGGAAACTATTAATCCATCAACTCCAATTCACAAAATTAGAAAAATAATTTCATATCTGCATTATTATTTTCAACAGGGAAGTAGACACTATTCTTCAGGAAAACACAAAGTACAGGCAGGGGTAGAGTCAGCCCCTCCTCTGCTGGAGCAGGAAAGTCATCAGGAAGAGGCACAGGTCAGTGTGGGGAGAGGCCTGGTGGGCAGGGCTGGGCCAGTCTCCCCACCTCCTCACATTATGCCAGTGAGATCACAGATACATGCAATGCCCTTTTCAAGGGATCTTGAAGTCATGACGTGTGGATAAGAAAGAATCAGTATTCCATAGTCCCCAGCACATTGTAAAAGAAAATATGACCAAACTCATGGAATTACATAAGTGTGGACATTCTTAATAGTCCACTGCAACATCAGAATATCCCCCTCACAGCTTCCCCATCACCTGGTCCTATCCTCTCCACCCCAGCCCCTCCCACCACAGGCATCCAGGATCTCACCTTTAGTAGCTGTGAGAGGCACATCAGAGCCCTGGGCACTGTCGCTGCCTGGGGAAGGACAAAACAGAACCTGGTTAGAGGCAAGAGAGAGGAGACCACAGGAGGGATGATGTGGATGACTCCGCCATGGGCTCCATCTACACTGTCCCCAGAGGCTCAGGGAACAAACCCCTGATCCACACTTACTTGGAACCTGAGAGTAGCCTCTTCCTTGTCCACCTGTGGAAAGAAATATTACATGAAACCAGGCAGGAGTCAGGTCCTAAAGGAATCTTCTAGTCCTCACCACAGGGAAGTTTCCAGATCTGCGACTGAAAATCCAGAACAGGACCAGGAAATATGATGAAAGAAGATGAGGGGGGACTGGACAAACTTGTTTCCTGGAGTCTGCCCTCAACAGGGACCTTCCCCTCTGCAACTGGCTGGAAGTCAGGGCCCCGTCACCAGAATTATCAAGTTAAACCATCTGTGATTCACTTTCATAAGTGCTTTACAAAAGAGTGTCAGCAATAAGCTCCAATTTGGGCGACACAAGCATGTGGATGGTACTTCCCGTTAACCTAGCAGGGCAAGTTGTCCCTGGCACTTGAAAGCCCCCAGTGGACAAGATCCCCCACTCCCTTCCCTACCTGACCTTCTTCCTCCACATCACAGCTACAGCCACCACAGCTCCAAGGAGAACCACACAGGTAATGATAACCACCATGGTGAGGATGGAGGACTGAGGAGGGGCCTCTGGAAGGGAAGGGAAGGTGAGACCCTGAGCCCCAGGCCTCATCTTGACCCTCCAAAGGTCTCCAGAAGGGCTCCTGATGCCCGAGCAGAGTCACTGTGCCCATGTTCCCCTCCTTACCCCATCTCAGGACTTGGGGTTCCAGTAGCCCCTCATGCTGCACATGGCACGTGTATCTCTGCTCCTCTCCAGAAGGCACCACCACAGCTGCCCACTTCTGGAAGGTTCCATCCCCCCCAGGCCTGGTGTCCACCAGCTCTATGTCCTTGGCCAGGTTCTCTCCATCTCGCTGCCAGGTCAGGGTGATGTCCGCAGGGTAGAAGCCCAGGGCCCAGCACCTCAGGGTGACCTTCTGGTCAGAGGTGGCGTGGTGGGTCATCTGTGTCTTTGGGGCATCTGAGGAGAAAGGTCAACATAGTCACACTTTTGCTTTTACCCTCATGGAGACTGAAGCAGCCTCATGTGACCATCCTCAGAATGGACAGGGAAATGGGTTTGGAAGAGGAAGCACAAAACCTATGAACCACCCTGACCTGTGGAGTCTGGGATAATCTGTTTCTTAGAATGTTCTAGAATCAGGGTAACAGCTCAGGATAGGACTGAGGACTCAGAAAAAACAGGAGTCGGAGCTGAAAATGTTAATGAGACCAAAAACAAACTGATGATTCCCAAGATGGCTGCAGGGTCCAAAGGATCCAATGAAGGGTGATTTCAGGGATGGCCTTCCCTGCAGCTCAGGAGAGACTGGATTCCTTAACTGTCCTTCAGAAGAAGTAGGGCCCTGTGGGTGAGTTGCTCTCTCTAGTACAGAACAGGAAACCCAGGAGGTCTCCTCCCTCTCTGACCAGAAAGAGGTCTGTGTTCTGACCAGTACTCCACTGCCCCTGGGGTGTCAGCCTGAGGGAGAGCTGAAGCCTTGCAGGCCATGCTCGGCCCCTCTTACCTGAGCGCTGCAGCATCTCCTTCCCCTTCTCCAGGTATCTGCGCAGCCACTCCAAGCAAGTGCCCTCCAGGTAGTTTCTAAGGAGCTTCGCATCTATGCGGGATTCCCACTTGCTCCGGGTGATCTGAGCCGAGCCGCTGTGTCCGAGGCCGTCCAGGAGCGCAGATCCTCGCTCAGGGCGATGTAATCGGCGCCGTCGTAGGCGTACTGCTCATACCCACGGAGGAGGCGCCCGTCGGGCCCCACTTCGCAGCCAGACATCTCCTGGAGGGTGTGAGAGCCTGTCCCCGCCCCACCGAGAAGAAAGTGAAACTTAAACCACAGAGAACAAAGTCCCGCGGGCTCTTCCCACGTCCAGCGTTGGTGGGGGGAGGGTCACCATTTGTGGGGATGCGGTCAGGACCCGGCCCGTCCTGCTCACCCTCCTCGCTCTGGTTGTAGTAGCCGCGCAGGATGCGCAGGTTCACCCTGCCCTGCTGCGCCGCGGTCTGGAAGGTCCCGGTCTCCCGCGCCCAGTGCTCCGGCCCCTCCTGCTCCATCCAGGGCGCCCGCGGCTCCTCCCTCGGGCCCGGGGAGTCGCCGTCGAACCGCACGAACAGCGTGTCGTCCACGGAGCCCACGGCGATGAAGCGGGGCTCCCCGGGGCCGGGCCGGGACATCGTGGTGTAGAAATACCTCAGGGAGTGGGAGCCTGGGGGCGGGAGGGAGACCCGGGCTGGGGAGACGTGGGGGGGAGAAGGGAGCGGGGCGAGGGGGCTCCTGAGAGAGTTCAGGGGCGGCGGGAGGAGAAGGGCCGGGAATCAGTGAGCAAGAGGAGGAGGGGGCTGGAGGGACAGAAAGGGGCCAGGGCGGGGTTGAGGCGAACAAGGGGCCCTGATGGCGGAAACGAGCCTCTACCGGGTCCAGCG